AGAGGGCACCCAGCCTGCCTCTGCACTCTCTGTGCTAAAAAGCAGAGACTAGACAGTGCTAGAAAGTTCAGGGACATGCATAGTAGCACCAAATGCAGCCTTTCCTTGCTGTAACCAGGATAGAAGAAGATTTGGGAGGGGTGTAGCCGTTTCATTCTGAGATGCGGTTATTTCATGCTGTGCCCGTGTGCCCTCTAGAATCGTCCTGGGTAGCGTCGGTGGTGGGTGACCAGCCCTGTGCGAAGTCCTCATCTAGTCCAGCCCCTCATTTCACAGATGGGGAGACTGAGGCCCAGAGAGGGGAAGTGGCTTACCCCTGGTATTCCAGTGAGTTAGAGGCAGAGCGGGGCCGGAATCCAAGCCTGTGGCCCTGCCCCCACCTCCTGTACCTTCCACACCAGCATGTCCCCATGCTGGCCTCTGCCATCTGTCCCCAGACCCCACCCTCCTTGTCTCCCATGCCTTCCCTGCCCCCACAATGGAAGCCTGTGGTGTGTCTTGTGGGCCAAAGGCATGAGTCTGCTGGCCTGGGGAAGATGCCAGTGGTCTCAGGGGCTGCCTGTGACCAGCCCCTACCACTTTCCTTCTCAGCGCCCCCCACTATCTGGGGCTCCAACGAGACAGGTGAGGTGGCTGTCATGGAGGGCCACCTGGTGCAGCTTCTGTGCGAGGCCCGAGGAGTGCCCACCCCAAACATCACCTGGTTCAAGGACGGGGCCCTGCTCCCCTCCAGCACCGAGGTGGTCTACACTAGGGGCGGTCGGCAGTTGCAGCTGGGGAGGGCCCAGAGCTCAGATGCCGGCGTCTACACCTGCAAGGCCAGCAATGCTGTGGGGGCCGCAGAGAAGGCCACCAGGCTGGACGTTTATGGTGAGCAGCCAGGGGCCACGGCAGCTGGTGTGGGCAGTGGGAGGGACTCAGTCATGGTGGCCCCTGCCTGTCTCCAAAGGAAGGCGAGGTGGCCACTTGGAGTGGTCAGAGGCAAAAGGATAATGAGACCAAATCATTATCTAGGGAGAAGGGTCCTCCCAGCTCATGCAACTTCCCTTATACACGTAAGGAAACTGAGGCCAGGAGTGGAAAGGCCCGTCTGGGAGGTCATGGTGGAGCTAAGTGTAGAATCCAGGTCTGCCCTCATGCTATGGGCCTTTTCACTGAACCATGCCCAGACCCCCGTGACCACCACAATAATTAACTGCCCTTCGTTAGTCACTTCTGTAAGCTAGACCAGAGGGGCACTTTGCAGCATCAGCTCAATTGATCAGCTGGCAAAGGGACTTGAGGTCTCGTGTCCCCAGTTACAGATGGTCACGGTGAAGCCCTGGAGCGGAGAGGTTTCTCCAGGTTCATACCACTAGGAGGTGGTGGGACCCGGTCCATACGTGGGCAGATCTGACTCCAGACCTCATGCTGGGAACCTCAGCATCAGCTCAGCCCTGAGGGGCTTGGCTCTGGGGACCTTCGAAGGAGAACTCAGAGGAAAGGGTGTCAGTGGCTCTGGATGGGTCTGAGCAGGCCCCGGTGAAGTGTGAGAGGGCAGTGTGCAAGCTGATAGGGGTCAGCCCGGCCCCCCGTGGGCAGTCAGTTTGGGAGCTCTGTTTTCCAAAGATGCAAAGGGCTTGGGTGTCGGAGCCTCAGGGACCCCAGAGGGCAGTTGAGCTGCATGGGCTCCATGGCAGCCTCTGAAGATGGCCCCGCTGCCAGTTCAGGGACTCTTATTTTGGGCCCCGAGGTCCCCCAGGAAATGAAATAGAAAATGTGTATGTCTATGCTTTTATTACATTTTCAAAGGGTCTTACGCCCAAATAAGATTAAGAAGCATTTCCCAGGCCACGGTTGGCCCTTGTCCCCTGGTAATGGCTTCATCAGCTCAGCAACTTTAGAGGCTCCTTGAGCGTAAGAGAGAAATTTCCCCTCTGGCGTGGCCACCATGGGCTCCAAGCATAGTTAACGTCTGGTCCCCTTGGCCGTCGCTGGCTAAGTTTGGAGCTCCCCAAGCCAAGCCATCTGGGCTCAGGTCTGCCCCAGTCTTCTGCCTCCTGAGACCAGGGAGGGAGGGGACTTCCAGGAGCAGAGCTCTGTCCTGGCTCTGGGGGTCTCATTTGAGTCCAGCAGGTACTGGACCTGCCGTGTGTAGACACTGGGGATGCAAGTAAGCCAGCCCTGGTCCCACTCATGCTGGGCTTGCCGGGGTAGCAGCGGGGATGGAGAGGCAACAGTCCGCACCCAGGGGTGGGGTGGTGCACCCAGGGGCCGAGGAGGGTGAGAACGCTGCCCCGGGGTCTGAGCAGAGGGTTCAGCCAGTGGAGGTAAGAGAAGGAAGTGTTTCACATGGAGTAGGGTCGCTGAGGGGCTTCAGCGGGCCTGTTGGGCTGAGATGAGAGCAGGCTGGTGTCCGGCTGTGGTCCCCAAGCCACCACCCCCTGCCTCTTTTCCAGTCCCACCCACCATTGAGGGCGCCGGTGGAAGACCATACGTGGTGAAGGCTGTGGCTGGGAGGCCCGTGGCGCTGGAGTGCGTGGCCAGAGGCCACCCGCCCCCGACCCTCTCCTGGCACCACGAAGGGCTGCCCGTGGCAGAGAGTAACGAGTCTCAGCTGGAGACAGGAGGCCGCGTGCTAAGGCTGGAGAGCCCGGGGGAGGCATCCACGGGCCTGTACAGCTGTGTGGCCAGCAGCCCTGCCGGGGAAGCCGTGCTGCAGTACTCCGTGGAGGTGCAGGGTGAGCCCGGCCCACTCTACTCAGAGCTGCCTGGGCTGTGGACTCTGCCCAGACCTGCTGCGTGCTTGTCCTGAGAGAGCTCCTGGAGTGGAGGGAGGGTGGGGAGAAGTAACCAGTGTCCCTTCATTGCATGATACAGATGAGGACACTGAGGCCTGGGCTGAGGGGCCGGCAGGGCTAGGAGTGGGCAGGGTGGAGCCCCAGGATCAAGGGTCCCTGACCGTGCCCAGGACCCTGGGCCGGGTCACCCAGGACAGAGAACCTCGTTCTGCCTTCTGCCAATGGAGGGGCCCTTTACGGAGACTTTCCTAAGGCCAGCTTGTGGATGTGGTCCCAGCAGGAGGGGTAGGGCCTTCGCCTGCTCTTCCGTCCATTGCCGAAGCATCTCAGGTACTAGTGCTGTGCTGGCCCCGGGTAGCACTGGAAATGAAGCTGGGAACAAGGCCACCCGGACTCCTGAGCCCTCAGTCTGCCGGGGAGGCAGATGTTAAATAATCAGGCCCAAGCCTTTAGGGAGCCCAGGGTGTCCCCTCACCCTCCTTGGGTGGCCCTGGAAGGCCTCCTGGGGAAGGGGCCACTGACAGGGAGACCTGAGGGTGAGGTGAGACTGGGCCTCGCTCCGAAGGCACTGGCGACTTGAGAGGGTTTGCGGCCAATGGCTGCTCAGCTGCAAACACCCAGGAGCGTGTTCTGCCCGCAGTGCCCCCACAGCTCCTGGTGGCTGAAGGCTTGGGACAGGTGACCACCATCGTGGGACAGCCCCTGGAACTTCCCTGCCAGGCCTCAGGCTCCCCAGTACCCACTATCCAGTGAGTCTGGGGTGGTGGAGGCCAGGGCTGGGGGTGGACAGAGAGCGTGTGCTTTGCAGGTTGTGGGGGAAGCGGACAGGAGAGAGGCTCCCTGTTCCCAGGACTGGGAAAGAGGCCTGGAGCTGTGGCTGGTGAGAGCAGGTGGGAGGAGCTTCTGGGCTTCCCACTTGTCCTGCCTGGCCTGGCCTTCCCTGGCCTCAGGTTGACCCGCCCTCCTCCCTGCTCATCTTAGGTGGCTGCAGAATGGTCGCCCAGCTGAGGAGCTGGCCGGCGTGCAGGTGGCCTCACAGGGGACCACACTGCACATTGACCATGTGAAGCTGGACCACTCAGGCCTCTTCGCCTGCCAGGCCACCAATGAGGCGGGCACTGCCGGGGCCGAGGTGGAGGTGTCTGTGCATGGTGAGTGGGCACCTGGGGTTCTGGGACTGTGGGCAGCCTGAGATGCCAGAGGTGGGTGGAGCCAGAGGACTGTAACAGGCCTGGAAGGACATGGGGCTGGTCTTCTCTGGATGACATTTCTGGGCTGGACTTTCCAGTTCCCCACAGAGACGCAAGTGTGAGAGGCTGGCTGGGCCACTTACCACACTTATCCTCTGTCCTGTCCAGCCCCTAGGCCTCACTCCTCTCCCCAGCTTCCTCTTTCTCCATCTGCTCTCTTCATGCTAACCACGCTGAACTTCACTTAGTTCTTTTAATACATCAACCCTCTTTCTCTCACCTTCGAGTCTACGTATGCTGTTCCTTCTGCCTGGAACATTCTCCCTCCTCTTTGCTTGCCTAGCTCCTTATCTTTCAGGCATATCCTGAAATACTCTTCCTCCAGGAGGACTTCCTTGATTCTACCATGTTTCTCATCTGCACTACCCAAACTCTCAATGCCTTAGCCCTCCACCCACTACATTGGGATTACTTATTTGGTTGTCCATCTCCACTGTCCACCTCTGTGAGCTTTGAGAGGGCAGCATGGTAGCTGCCTTTCCCTGCTGTGTCCAGGGGCCGAGTATAGTTCTGGCCACAGAGTAGATGCTCAGCACACATAAGGATGTGTGGATAGATCAGTGGGTGGATGGGTGGATGGGTGGATGGGTGGGTGGATGAATGGGTGGACAGATAGAAGGATGGATAGATGCATGGATGGATGGATGGATGTGGATGGATGGATGTGGATGGATGGATGGATGGATGGATGGAAAGGTGGATGGATGGGTAGATAGATGGAAGCACAGGTGGATGGATGGGTAAATGGATGGATGGATGGATGGATGGATGGATGGATGGATGGATGGATGGATGGATGGATGGAAGGGTGGGTAGATGGATGAATGGGCGGGTAGATGGATGGATGGGTGGGTGGGTGGATGGATGAGTGGATAGGTGGGTGGGTGGATGGAAGAGTGGGCAGATGGATGAATGGGTGGGTGGGTGGATGGATGGATGGGTGGATGGGTGGAGGGATGGATGGATGGATGGATGGAAGGGTGAGTGGATGGATGAGTGGGTGGATGGATGGAAGGGTGAGTGGGTGGATGGCTGGCTGGATGGGTTGGTAGATGATGGATGGGTGGGTGGATGGATGGATGGATGGACAGACAGATAGGTAGATGAATAAATGAATGAATAGATGCATGGGTGCATAGATGGATGGGAGGATTTTTAAAGGGAATAACTATTCTGCTGGCTCCCCGTCTAGAGCTCTTTCCCCTAAGCCATGTGTCTGGGGGATATGGTGGGCAGAAGCTAGATGCCAGCCTTTGGCCAGCCCTTCAAGGCCACCTTCTCACCCCCAGGCATTGAAGGGGTTGCTGGGTGCCCTCTGTACCCCTCCTGATTCTGACCCAGGCTCTTCCTGACTCTTTCGCTTTACCAGAGTTCCCATCTGTCAGTATCATTGGGGGTGAGAACATCACAGCTCCTTTCCTGCAGCCTGTGACCCTCCGATGTGTAGGGGATGGGGTGCCTACCCCAAGCCTCCGTTGGTGGAAGGATGGTGTAGCCCTGGCAGCCTTTGGGGGGAACCTGCAGGTACGTGCAGGGGTCCCAGGGCTGGCGAGCCAGCTGTGCACAGGTGGAGGGGCTGCTCTGGGGGCTTCCTGGAGACTCTGAGGAAAACCCAGCAGCCTGGGGATAGGAAGAAAGGGTGAGCCTCAGCCTCTTCCCGATCCTAGGAGCTTCAGTTGTCAGAGGGAGAAAATGTCGGCCGGGGGGGACAGGGAACGGTATGCCTGGAGATGGGACGAATCCCTGGAATCTGAGTGCTTGGCTCAGAACCCAACCCCCAGAGCCAAAAGTGTCCCCATGCCTCACTGCTCCTGACCCCGGGCTCGGCAGCAGCCTGGCCACTTGCCATGTCCTGTCATCACTCTGACAGCCCTGTGGCACGCTCTCTGCCCCCTCCCCTCCAGATTGAGAAGGCGGACCTAAGGGACGAGGGCATCTACACTTGTGCCGCTACCAACCTGGCTGGGGAGAGCAAGAGGGAAGTGGCCCTGAAGGTTTTGGGTGAGGATGTGGGTGGCCAGCAGGGCCCAGGCCAAGGATGTTGGGTGATCCCTTGGGGACCCTTGGGGCTGGGATGTGTGGCTAGAGACGGGGAGGAGGTTTTTCAGTCATAGTTGTGCACTTAACTTCAGAGGAAGTAGAAAGCCCTAAAATGAAAGCATTAGCAATAGCTCTGTAGTCCCTTTTGGCTGCTTTTGGTGGGATTTTTAGTAGCAGCCCTTGCCCACATTCATATTTACCTTTGCTTATTTTGGGAGTTTCTTTGCAGGGAAATCCCTGTCCTTGTCCCTTTCCCTGGCTGTGCTGGCTGTCGGCTGTCCTGGGGTGGGGGCTGGGTGCTGTATGATTGCTGTAAGGATGGCAGCCTGTTGCTCTTTGGTCTTGGGTTTGGTTCCAGGAGTGGGGTTGCTTAGTCTGAGGACGTGAGTTGTTTCAGAGCCCTGTTGTCTAGGATTTTCTATGGGGAGCAGGGAGCAGCACTGCTGGGATGGCTGGGATTAGAGCTGCCCAGAGCTTACACCTACCAAGCTGGGTCTCTCCTTGTCTGCCCCTAGTGCCCCCCAACATCGAGCCAGGCCCAGTCAACAAGGCAGTGCTGGAAAATGCCTCAGTGACCTTGGAGTGTCTGGCTTCGGGCGTGCCTCCTCCTGGTAAGACCCCTCCTCTTGGCTGAAAGCTACTTCCAGGCCAATTCACTGTCTAATGAGGCTGGCGAGTGACCCAGGGACCCTCTGACTGGACGTAATGGGAAGAAATCAGCAGGTCTTTCCCCCCATTTCTCTCATTTTCCTCTCTTCCTCTTCAACAACGTCCTTCGGGCCAAGGCACTGCTGAGGTCCAGAGCCCGGGGTCTGAAACAGGCCTGCAGGGCATCTACTCACAGTCAACTTCACAGGGCTGTCCGGGGCTGGGGCAAGGATCAGGACCTCAGAGTCATCATCTGGTCTGTAGGGTCCTCGCCTGTAGACCAGCAGTTGAGGAAAGGGCCGGGTGCTGGGGTCTGGGTGTGAGTGTTTGCACAGGGGACTGGGTGAGGCTTACAGTGACCCAGGAGGAGGGCCCTTCTCTGGTTCTCATCTGAACTAGGCCCACCCTGCTTTACTTGTGGCCTATGAGCCCTGGGGATATTTGCCCCCTCTTGTGGGGACGCCTGCTGAGTTCCAGGGGGCGCGGCCTGGCAGAATGAAGGGAAGCTGCAGATACACGTGTTCCAGCCTGGCTTTGAGGCTGCTGCTTTGGGCTGGTCCACGTTCTCTAATGCTCCCTAGGCAAGGGGGTCTCCTGGTAGGGGAAGGGCAGGGCTGAGTTTTACTCTCTCTGCTCCTGGCTGCCTCAGCCTCTGCCCACGGGGCTTCTTCTTCACCCTTGGTCCTGTCTTGGGCAACATTGCCCGGTTCCACCCTGACTCCCTTTTGTGAATGAAGAACTCTGACCTCTAATGCCTGAAAAAACAGTGTGGCCACCCTGGAAGGTTCTCTTAGATGCCCACCACACCAGCAGAGTCTGACGGGCTGGCAGCACCCTTGCACCTCTCTTCCATTCCCCTTTGCATCTCTCTTCCATTCCCCCTTGCATCTCTCTTCCATTCCCCCTTGCATCTCTCTTCCTTTCCCCAGATGTCTCCTGGTTCAAGGGCCACCAACCTGTCTCTTCTTGGATGGGAGTGACAGTATCAGCGGATGGGAGAGTTCTCCGCATTGAGCAAGCCCAGCTTTCTGATGCTGGGAGCTACCGCTGTGTGGCATCCAATGTGGCAGGTAGCACAGAGCTGCAGTTTGGCCTACGGGTCAATGGTGAGCATCCCTGGGCCTCTAAGGGCTCTTGTCCAAAAAGTTGGCTTTTCATCCATTTGTCTGTTAGTCTGTCCATCCACCTGTCCACTCATCCATCCATCTACCACCCCGTCCATCCATTACCCCATCCATCCATCATCCATCCATCCTTCCATCCATCCATCCACCCATCCACCCATCCACTCATCCACCTATCCACCCATCCATCCATCAACTCGTCCGTCCATGCATCCATCCATGCATCCATCCATGCATCCATCCATCCATCCACCTATCTATCCATCCATCCATCCATCCACCCACCCACCCACCCACCCACCCAACCATCCTTTCATTCATTTATCTAGCCACCTGTCTGCTCACCCATCCACCTGTCCATTTGTCTACCTGTCCACCCACCCATCCATCAACCCATCTATCCATCCATCCATCTACCTACCCATCCATCCATTCACCATCCATTCACCCATTCAACTACCCATTCTTTCATTGATCCATTTTCTATCCAACCACATTTATTGAGTCCATGCTCTGGGACAGACACTGGACCTACAGCCCTAAATAAGACAGACCTCAGAGCTTTCAGTCAGTGGCAGACACAGCAAATTAGATCATTCCCCAGAGTACTACTTGATGTCAATTGTGATAACAGCTGGTAAACATGAGGTGCTACTGAGCACCTATAACAGGGCACTGACCTGGCCTGTGGAGTCCAGGAGGCATCTTTGATACTTGGATACCTACACTGAGGTCTCTGCCAAGGCCTGAGGTTGCAAAGACCTGGGGAATTTGAGAAACTGAAAGGAGGCCATGGGGCCAGGATGGTGCTGGTGGCCATATGGACCTCTTGGGCCTCATGGGCCATGGGAGAGGTTGGATCTAAGAACAGTGGGTAGCTGGGCAGGGGCCTGGGACCCTGAGCATCATGGCTGGTGCCTCCCAGATACAATGGAATCTTCTGGCTATTTTCCGCCGAAAGGGGACTGCCTGTGATACAGTATTTAATCTCACACCCCTGAGTTAGGAAGTAGCACTGTCCAGGGACCCTTGGTCCCCTCCCTGTCCCCATAGTAAATGACCTTCTGCTGACCAGAGGCCTGCATGCGAGTGCTGCTTCCTGGCTGGTCAGCCTTGGGGCAGGTGACTTCCTGTCTGTGAGCCTCAGTTTCCCATCTATAGAAGCCTTGTGGTGGTGTTGAAAGGATGGAATGAGTAGCTTCAGGGGCAGTGGAGTGGCTCAGAGTCTGTGTCTGGATGGCTGCCCTTGTGCTTTTGCTGTGACTGTGTGCTCCTGCAGGGGTGCCCAGCCAGGGGCCCTGCCTGCTTTGCCCCAGTGGGGCTCAGCCTGTGCCCCATGTCACCCCTGCCCTGCAGTGCCCCCTCGAATCACGCTGCCACCCAGCCTGCCAGGCCCTGTGTTGGTCAACACCCCTGTCCGTCTGACCTGCAATGCCACCGGTGCCCCCGGCCCCATACTGATGTGGCTGAAGGATGGAAACCCTGTGTCCCCTGCAGGGACCCCTGGCTTGCAGGTCAGTAGGGCTGGGTGACCCCGGCTCACCTCCTTGCACCTCCCGTGGATGCTGGGAACAGAGGTCAGGCCCTGGGAGCTTAGGGTGAGGGAGAAGCAGTGATAGCCCAGGGCCGAGGGCTGGAGGGAGGTGAGGCTGAACAGAGATGCTGGAGCCACAGTGCCCAATGGTAATGATGCATTCCATGAACATGAACCATCTATGTCATTGTAAACGTTCTTGTAGCCACAGTAAACTGAGTAAAAAGAAACAGGTGAGATCAATGTTAATAATACACGTTAGCTAATCCACTATATCCAAAATAGCTTCATTTCATCATGAGATCAATAAAAAATAGTTATTGAGATATTTTATAGTCTTCTTTTCATATTAACTCTTTGTCGTCTGTGGCGTATTTTGTACCTGGGGCCCGTCTCAATTTGGCCTGGCCACATTTCAAGGGCTCACTGGCCATGTGTGACGAGTGGACAGAGGGGCTCTAGAGGACTCTTCCTGAGGTCCAATGTCATTGCCTGCCAGCTGGCAGAGGTCCAGAGGCCCAGATGCAACCCTCAGTTTCCCTGCATCATGAGGGGCTCTGAGGGTCTGGGGCAGGCTGTCCAGGCGTGCCCGGCAGCAGGGCCAGCTTGGGCAGGTGAGGTTCTGCTCCTTGGGATGTGCAACAGCAGGACAATTGCCTAATTTGGGCTTCCCCCTGGGGTCACAGGTCTTCCCTGGGGGCCGGGTCCTCACCTTGACCAGCGCCCGGGCCTCCAACTCTGGGAGGTACTCCTGCGTGGCTGTGAGCGCGGTGGGCGAGGACCGCCGGGATGTCGTGCTGCAAGTCCACAGTGAGTGTCAGACTGGGAAAGGCACGTGGTTCAGAGCAGCAACTCCAAGGAGATGGGGTGGGGGGCATTCCCGGTCACTTTCAAAGGGAGAGGGGCTGGGTGGATGGAGGAGTGCCCAGCTCTGAGAACAGCTGCCTTCCAGTACGGATCAGTGAGCTCCAGACCTGCCCTGGAGTGTGAGCTCCCGCAACGGGTGGGAGGGTGGGCAGGTGGCCCCGCATAGCCAGGAGTTCTTCCCTGTGTTCAGGGAGAGGCGGAAGCGGTGTGAAGTAGCAGGAGCAGCGTGGAGTGATGGTTAGGAAAGCTGGCTCTTGAGTGTCACCGACCTGGGGTTCAAACCCTGCCTCTGTGACTTTGAGCTGGTCACTTTGCTTCTCTGAGCCACCATTTCTTCATCTGCAAAATGGGAAGAATAGCACTCACCTCAAAGGTCATCATGGGGACTCACTAAGCCCTGGTGCTCACGAAGCTACTGCAACCACAGTAGCTTATTTTTAAATGTCCTCCTCTGGGTTTTTCTGGGGCTCTGTGGAGGTATAAGAAGGAACGCTGGGAGCTGGGTGCGGTGGCTCATGGCTGTAATCCCAGCACTTTGGGAAGTTGAGGTGGGTGGATCACTTGAGGTCAGGAGTTCGAGACCAGCCTGGCCAACATGATAAAACCCCATCTCTACTAAAAAAAAAAAAAAAAAAAAAAAAATAGCTGGGTGTGGTGGTGTGCACCTGTAGTCCCAACTACTTGAAAGGCTGAAGCAGGAGAATCACTTGAACCTGGGATGTGGAGGTTGCTGTGAGCTGAGATCATGTCACTGCACTCCAGCCTGGGCAATAGAGCCAGACTCTGTCAAAAAAAAAAAAAGAAAGAAAGAAAGAGAGAAAAAGAGAGGGAAGGAAGGAAGGAAGGAAGGAAGGAAGGAAGGAAGGAAGGAAGGAAAGAGGGAAGGAGGGAAGGAAGGAAGAAAAGGAAAGAAGGAAAGAGAAAGCGAATGAACTTAGTCTTAGGTGGGAGGTGGTACGAAGGATTTGATTCTAGCTCTTTCCCTTTGCTGGAGTGAAGATGGTTAACACATATCGTATGCCCAAGAACCCCACCTGTGCCATTGGATTTAACCTCATGGCGGCCCCACCAGGTGGAGATTTTCATTATCCCCACTTTACAGATGAGGAGACTGAGGCCCAGGAGTGTAAGTAGCATCCCAAGGGCCTCGCGTGGTGAGTGAGTGGTGGAAGGCAGGATTCCACCCCAGGAGTTCTCCCCCTGGACCCTGCGTTCCTTCCTGCAAAGCTGCGCTGGTTATTTTTGTTTCAGGGGCAAAAGGTGGTTCTGAGACCTGCTTTAAAAAATTTTTTTAACAAAAATTTTAAATTTTAGAAAGTTTTGAGATAACTGTGGATAATTGTAGATTCACAGACGTCTGTAAGGAATAACACAGGGAGACCCTGAGTTTCCTTCCCCAGTTTCCCTCTGTGGAAATGTGCTGCAGAAATCTGGGATGTAGATATCGCGACAATCTTACTCAGACTGGCTCCTCTGAAGCAGGACTGAAGGCAGAGGAAGGGTGGGCACTCCAGGCTGCCACGAGTAGCTAGGCCTGACCCAGGGTATGGCCCCTCCTTGCCAGCCCCCTCCATGTGCCTGAGGGAGCCCCTCTCCTGACCCCTCCCACAGTGCCCCCGAGTATCCTCGGAGAAGAGCTGAATGTGTCCGTCGTGGCCAATGAGTCAGTGGCCCTGGAGTGCCAGAGCCACGCCATGCCCCCTCCTGTGCTGAGCTGGTGGAAGGACGGGCGGCCCCTGGAACCACGGCCTGGAGTCCACCTCTCCGCAGACAAAGCCTTGCTGCAGGTGTGCAGGTCCCGTCAGCCAAGCAGGCCTCCACCTCGGGCCACAGGCAGGATGGGGCCTGCAGGTGCCCTAGCTCAGTGACCTACAAGCCCTCTTCCTCCCAGGGGATGGGGGACAAAACCCCAGGACTGGGTCCTCAGGGCCTCCCTCAGGGCCCCTGAATCAGCTGAGTGGTGCCAGCTGTTGGGTTAGAACCTACCTCACCTGCCTGTTCCTCCTCCCACCCCTCTACACCTTGTGATACGATCATTCCCAACTCAGAGCACTGTCATTTGGCTTCCCCTCCTTCCGTTCATTCTTCAAAGCCACAGCCTAGCCCCAGCACCCCCATGTCAGGATCTGACCCCTGAGCACAAGTGCCCTGCACCCCACCAGCCTTCTTCCTCCACCTTCTCTTCCGATCTGTTTTCTTGGGCTTTCCAAAGAGGCTGGGAGCAGATGAAAGGCAGGAGCAGGTCTGATCCAGTCACATGCCTTCCCCTTAGCAGATCTGGGCCGTGGATGTGAAGGTGGGGAGGCTGGCAGGCCTGCCATCCGGGGGGCCCTTCTCAGGCCCACCACAGGCACCGGCTTCTGGAAACTTCCTGGTGCAGCTGGTGGGGAGATGCTGTCCCTGCCCTGTGCTCCAGGTGGGGAACCTGGGGCTCAGCGATGTCATGTGACGTGCCTGCAGTCGCACAGTCTGTCCAGGGCTCACCCATCTCTGTGCTGTCCCCACCTATGGGGTGTCTCTGCTCTCGGCCAGGTGGACAGAGCTGATGTGTGGGATGCGGGCCGCTATACCTGTGAGGCGCTGAATCAGGCCGGCCGCTCAGAGAAACACTACAATCTCAACGTCTGGGGTGAGGGTCTCCCGGGCCGGGCATGGGGAGGGGGCTGTTACCTTGATTGGGTCCCAGGACACAGCCCTCCTCCAGCCTGCCCTCGCCTTGCTCATCCCCTCCCCATCTCAGTCCCACCCCCACTAACCCTCTCTCTGCTCTGACTCAGTCGCTCCAGTGTTCCCCTCGAGGGAATCCCACACCCTGACTGTGAGCGAGGGACATCCTGCCAGGCTGTCCTGCGAATGCCGGGGCGTCCCCTTCCCCAAGATCTCCTGGAGGAAGGACGGTAGGATTGCTGCCCTTGCCCAGCCCCACCTCATTGCCAGGCACAAGGAGGCTATGCCCAGCCCCCACTGGTTACCCCCACCCCAGAGCCTAGCTGAGATGGCGAGACTTATGGCTCGAGGGGGTGGGGATGCTGGTTACAGAAGTGACACTTCGCCCAGCCCCTCTCTCCTCAGTTCCTGAGCCTGCAGGAGCCCCTGGTCCTGCTCTGCCAGTAAGAGCTGGATTGATCTTCAGGCCTCACTTCAGACGTCCCTTCTTCCAGGAAGCCTTCCTTGACTGCCAGGCTGGGACAGAGCCTCCCTGATGCAGTCCCTGTCACTTGTTATGTCACCCACATTAGTCCTTCTGTGTGTGTTCCTCCATTAGTCTGTGACCCCTGTGAGGCACCACCTTGACCAATGCTGAATTCCAAGTTCAGTGTAGGTACAAAAAAGGTGCTCAAAAACCATTTGGAATTCGCTTCACCAAATTTTTTTCTTTTTTGAGACAGCGTCTTGCTCTGTTGCCCAGTCTGGAGTGCAGTGGTGTGATCTCAGATCATTGCAACCTCCACCTCCTGGGTTGGAGTGATTCTCCTGCTTCAGCCTCCCGAGTAGCTGGGATTACAGGCAGGTGCCACCATGCCTGGCTAATTTATATCTTTTTAGTAGAGACAGGGTTTCACCATGTTGGGCTGGCTGGTCTCGAACTCCTGACCTCAGGTGATCTGCCCACCTCGGTCTCCCAAAGTGCTGGGATTACAGGCATGAGCCACTGCACCCAGCCCATTTAACCAATATTTATTGAGCAACTGTGCCAGGCCCTGTTCTAGGCACTGGAAATACAGCAGAGGATAAAACAGATCCCCACCCTCACAGTGGGGGCAGTCAGATAATAAACACACAGTTAGTACATGACTCGGTACCCTAAGTGATAAATGCTATGGAGAAAAATAAAGCTAGGAAGCCGGGGAAGATATCCTGGGGGGTTGTAGGATTTGCAGTTTTAAGTTGGGTGGCCAGGAATGCTTGACCAAGCAGACTTGAAAAGGTCAGGGCTGAACATGAGAATATCACAGGGAAACGCATCCCAGGCGGAGGTAAGGGTAAGTGCAAGGGTCCTGGGGCAGGAATGCTGCTTGGATGGAGGAATGAGAGGAGGTGGGGAATCAGGGATGATGGAAGAGAATGGAGCTGCCATTACCAGGATGGGAGATCCCAGGGGCAGGTATGGTAGAAAGACCTAGCATTTGGGGTGAATTAATCTTGAGACATCTGCTAAACGCCTAGTGAGGTGTCCAGTGGATGGTGAGAGACAGGTGTCTGGAGCTCAGAGGAGAGATCTGGGCTAGGAAGCAGCCTGGGAGTAGCAAGACAAGCTGAGGTCACCAGGACAGAGAGGGAGGAAGCAATGCCATGTGGCCACTGGGTCTGCTTCCCTGCTGGGACATGCATATTGAGTCATGACCCAGTCCAGAGGTCTCCTCCTCTAGAAACAGAGGTGGAAGGGTTTAATCCAGTAGGTCAAGGTTGACAAATCCTCCTCCTACAAGAGGTCGTCTTGATGCCAGGTCTACCAGTTGCCTGGTCGTCCTCCTCAGGCCACTATAGCTAAATGGATGGTCATTCTGTCAGTAGCCTTTATTGAGCCCTGCTGTGTGCCAGGCCCTGGGGAGCCACTAAGGATCCCAGGGGGAGGCTGGTCACAGTGGCTCACGCCTGTAATCCCAGCACTTTGGGAGGTTGAGGCAGTGGATCACCTGAGGTCAGGAGTTCGAGACCAGCCTAACTAACATGGTGAAACCCCGTCTCTACTAAAAAATACAAAAATTAGCCAGGTGTGTTGGTGTGCACCTGTGATCCCAGCTACTCGGGATGCTGAGGCATGAGAATCGCCTGAACCCAGGAGGCAGAGGTTGCAGTGAGCCAAGATCGTGGCACTGAACTCCAGCCTGGGCAACACAGCGAGACTCTCAAAAAAAAAAAAAATGATCCCAGAAGGAAATTGAGGCAGGGTCTGCCATTCTGGAGGGCCCAGGCCAGAGTAAGATTCAGATGGGGCACCTGTAGGCAGATCTGTGATGGGGAGAAGCCTAGGGGGATAGGGAGGAGCTCAGAAGAGGCACCAGGACCAGATGTGGCACTCACGTAAGGCTTCCTAGAAGAGGTAGTGTCTAAATGGACACCTGAAGGATGAGCAGGAGTTGGCAAGAATGGGTGGGAGGACGAACTTTCCCGGTGGAAAGACATCATGTCCTTGCAAATACCCTGGACCAGGAGTTTCTTTTTCCCTGCACCCAGGTCAACCCCTCCCCGGGGAGGGGGCTGGCCTCCAGCAGGTGTCGGCTGTGGGGAGGCTGCTGTACCTGGGACAGGCCCAGCTGGCTCAAGAAGGAACATACACCTGTGAGTGCAGCAACGTGGCGGGGAACAGCAGCCAGGACCTGCAGCTGGAGGTGCACGGTGGGTGAGCCGGGCGGGCGCTGGGAGGGTCCTGGGATCATGGGCTGCCTGGGCAGGTACTGCCCTCAAATCGGAGCAAATACAGGGAAGTGATGGTGTGTGGTGCAGGCCTTCTCCTCCCTCAGATTCCTGGTGTGTGAGTCCATTCTCACACTGCTCTAAAGATACCACCTGAGACTGGGCAATTTATAAACAAGAGGCTTAATCGACTCACAGTTCCACATGGCTGGTGAGGCCTCAGGAAACTTACAATCATGGCAGAAGGTGAAGGGGAGGGAAGGCACACCTTCCATGTCGGCAGGAAAGAGAGAGAGCGCGAAGGGGGGAAGCACCAGACACTTACCAAACAAGCAGATGTCATGAGAACTGACTGACTCACTCACTACCACAAGAACAGCATGGAGGAAACCGCCCCCATGATCCAGTCACCTCCCACCAGGCCCCTCCCTCCACACGTGGGATTACAGTTCCAGATGAGATTTGGGTGGGGACACAGCCAAAAACGTATCACCTGGCATTTTGACTGCCCCTCCCACACAGCTTCTCACTAACCCAAGCATGGCAGGCAGGGGGGCTGTAGCACAATCCCTAAGGGTCCCCTAGTGGTCTGGAGGAGAAAAGTCACAGTTGAAACAGCTGGAAACCCAGAGGAAGTGTGAGCGTTATGTGAAGCTCCTCTATGTGATGGAAACCTAAACCGTATCACCTGGTCCTGCAGTGAAGCAATGAAATCCCCCAGCCTTGTAAAAATCCTGCTGGAAAATAAAACCAGGAAAAGTGCTGTTCAACATCTTGAGGAGAAACCCACCCACAGAATAATTTTCCACCCCTAACCAGTCCCAACAACTGTTGAAACTCCAGGAAGTCTCTGGTTTTTGAGGAAGAAAACCCATCACACATCCCGAAAGGGTTGTGCCCCACATAGCAGGCCTGCCTGTGACTCCCAGGCTCTAGCAGTAGGTTGCTGTTATGACCCCGTTGTTGGGAAGGAAAATGGAGGCCAGGAGAGGTGAGGTCACAAGGTGACACAGCCGGCGATGGCAAGGGGAGAGGGTGTGTCCCTGCGGGGCCCGGGGCAAGTGTGTGGTGCCTGGTGGCCTCAGCAGCTTTCTCTGATGGGCTTTCTCCCCATCCCTACAGTTCCCCCTCAGATTGCCGGTCCCCAGGAGCTTCCCACACAGGTCTCCGTGGTCCAGGATGGAGTGACCACTCTGGAGTGCAACGCCACAGGGAAACCCCCTCCGACAGTGACATGGGAGCAGGATGGCCAGCCCGTGGGGGCCGAACTGGGCCTGCAGCTGCAGAACCAGGGTCAGAGCCTGCGTGTAGAGCGGGCCCGGGCTGCCCACGCCGGACGCTACAGCTGTGTGGCCGAGAACCTGGCTGGGAGGGCAGAGAGGAGGTTTGAGCTCTCTGTGCTGGGTGAGGACTGGCAGCTGCTGGAGGAGGGTGGGTTGGGGCAGATTAGAGCAGGCAAGGCCGGTTCAATCTCCAGGCGCAGCCCTCAGGCTGTGATCCTTGGGTCACACCTGTTCTTTCTGGAGTCAGGGCTCTAATGAGAGCTGCTGCTGGGGGAAGCCACCAGCACTGCTCTCACAATCAGGACTGGTCCCAAATGGCCCCAATTTCCCCCAATTCACCTCTCCTCCCTCCCTCTCTCTCTCCTGGGTTCACTCTTCCCCTACTCTGTTCTGGGCACTGGGGAAGTAAGCAGTCCCTGTCCTGCATGACTGGTATGTGATGGGGAGAATTCAGGGGCTTGTGAGAGACCAGGAAAACCTGGAATACTGTTGGGGCAGGTCAGGGCAGCCTCCCAGAGGAGGTCCCCTTTAAGCTGGACCATAGAAGGTCAGTAGGAGTTAGGCAGCTGCTGGATGAGGGGAAGCACGTGCCAGGCAGAGGGTTGCTGAGGCAGCCTCATGCATTCCAATCATTTACTGAGCTCCTACTGTATGCCTGAGGGGATAATTCAGGGTGGAGACAGGGAATGGTAAGAGATAGGGTGGGAGAGGTGGGCAGGGATCAGTTTAGGGAGGAGCCCCCTCACCATTGCTGGGATCTCGAGCCTCACCCAGATATCCCCAACACCCCCACCTCCCTGGATAGAGAGTGGCTTCCTTCAGGAACAGATTCCTTCAGAACTGTAGCATTGCCTTCAGAACTTAGCTTCCACATGTGGATTTAGGAGGCACGTCTGGCCTCACCTTTACACGAATTCCAGTCCCACTGGCTCAGCGCTTGCCCTGCCCAGGCACTGGACTGGGTACTTTCACGTGTTCCTGTTGAATTCCCCAGCAGCCCGCTGAGTGGGGGCTTGGAGACCTGAGGACGCAACGAGCCTGCCTGACTCCCAGAGCCAGCCCTGTGGCGGCCACCTGCTCGCCCCTCCTAGGTGTACCTCCGTTTTACGGAGGACAGCTCTGCTCCTCAATCCACTTCTCGCTCCTCAGACTCCCCAATTGGGCGAGTTGGGGGGGGTGAAGCCAAGTCAAAAAAATGGGGTCAGGGAGGAGCCATGAAGTGCAACAGCCCCG